AATAGTTATTTACCTAACAAGTGCGGAAAGTGGACCTTTACCGCACGCGATGGCAGTTGGCAAGCCGCCGAGTGCGGTAAAGTCACTTTTCGCACGTGTTAGGTACAAAATTTTTCCTTCGGAGCACATAATTTTTGGAATGAAAATCTAATTAGAAGAAAAAATGCTTAAAAAGAAGCAAACATTGATTGTAACAAACAATAAATATTTCTATTTAATGCATTACGCGAAGCAAATACATTATTTGTATGTTTTTTCAAAATTTTGATACAGTGCGGTAAAGAATCTTTACCGCACTGAGAAAAAAGGTATTGGAAATCAAGGTAAAAATAAATTGCAACTGGTGGCTGATTAATACTTTTCATGTCAAAATTAATATGACAAGAATTTGGTTAAACGTCTGGTATCGGTGGCATTTGTCAAAATTTGCTGCGTTGCATTTTGTTTTTCCCATGGCAGCAAATCAATATTTTAATTGGCGTCTAAAGATACCACATAGGGAGTTCAGATACATTCGTGTTTTGTGGTTCAAATTTTCCATTTTTTGGGTATAAAATAAATTCTTGAGAAATGGAGACCTTCAATGAAGAAATATTCGAAGCAGGAAATGCAGCAGTCGGCTCTTTGATTCCACAAAAATCCAAGGACCGATACAATGAAGAATACGAACAATTACAAACGTATTATTGAAAGAGTGCGGTAAAGAATTTTTACAGCACTGAGTGCGGTAAAGAATTTTTTTCTATTTTGGTTTCATATCGAAGTCTTTTCGACACTAAAAGTAGTTTCGAAAAGAAGCTCTTTGTGACACTCCTTTTTTACTTGTCAGAAGTTGGTGACACTGGCTGACTGATGGCCATCGAACTGTCATTTACGATTTTATTATTGGTAAAAATAAAAATAAAAAAGAAGATTTCTATATTTGGCGTGTAGTTTTACCAACCTAAACATGATATCAGAAAATATGAGAATAAAATTTCCAAGAATTTTTTTTTTTTTTTTAATTAAACAATACCAAAATAGAAAAAATAGTATAAAATATTCGTTTCATAAGACATTTTATCGCACTCGCCCTTTAGAAAACTCGCCTCCGGCTCGATTTCTAATATAGGGCTCGTGCGATAAAATCACGTCTTATGAAACTTGTATTTTAATGTACTATTACAGCACTGGGTGCGGTAAAGGACTCCCTACGGCATGCAAATGAGTGCGGTAAAGTGTACTTTACCGCACGCGGGTAGGAAAAGAGTATTTTGCTTGAAAGGGCATATTACAGCTTGGACGAATTTTATAATGATGATTTTTGAAAATTGTTGTTTTGCTTTGATGATCTTGTAAACTTGTTAGTTTCTCATTTTTTTTTGGTGGGATAGATCTGAAGAATAAAGCTTGGGTTATTTCAAAACATATGTTTTAGGGGAGGCGTAGCAACGCACTTAGGGTACAGCTAGGGTTGAATAAAATAGATATTTGTCTAATAACTTTCTATTTTTTGAATATGGCAAATTATGATATTTTTTGACGCAGATACATGAATGCAACCGAGAATGAACGATATTTGGCAAGATTTTAGTCAGATTATTAAATAAATTAGGAATAAAGGACGAAAAAGGTTTCTCTAACTAGTGAGCTGTGTAACGATTTACAAATGGAAAGTTTGGCATCCTTACATTTTCTGGCAAGTGACGTTAATTGCCGTGCCCGCGTTTTCGCAGCAGTTTGAAAATTAGATTTCCAAATCATTTTATTTCCGAAAACAGGCTTTTTTTTTTGCAAAAAAGTATACAGATATTATTAGAATGACTAACAGAATAATCTGAAAATGTTTTTGAAAAATATGAAAGTGGCCCATTATAGTTACCAAATAAATGAATTTTTTCGAAAAGAAAAGTCAAAATTAGGAGCTCGGCCAATTTTTTGTTGGCCAAATATATCAAAAAAAAATTAATACCTTACAGCTGCCTAATTGTGTATGGCAGTTTGCTCATCCATTTCATTAATTAATCTAACTAACTTTATGTTAAAAATATTGCTGTTATTTACTTTCTAATAACTTAATTAATTACCCATTGAATAATTATATTCATTTAAATAAGCCAGTCCAATGAGGTCGTTGTTCTTCACTATATATATACTAACATAAGCAAGGAAATACATTTTTAGGAGTTATTTATAACTACCTACTTATTTTTAATGAATACCTACTCATTTGTGGCGTGTTTATAGTTATATCTCTTGCTTGCTTGTTCAGATTTACAGGTTAAATGGCTTCATTAAAATAGCCTAATTTAATATAATACGGACGCTGGGGGTCAATTTACTTTGTATTTAAATAAAAGTGTATAATAAAAAATTGAACCAAGAATACATGAGATGACAGAGAATAAGTAGACCGATTTGAGCCTCCATTAATATATTCATAATCTGCTTCGATTCTCTGGGGAAGTAATCATGGTATTTATATTGAACTAGCTAATGACCCGCTGCGTTGCCAGCGTGAAAATACATTTTGAAATAATACACTTTTTTTCAAATTTTGTTGTTGATTTTCTATTTAATTTCTTTTTAATAAATGAAATATGGCAACGTTGTTTCATGCTGTCAAAAAAAAGTTGGGTTATGTTGTTATATAATGTGAATGAGTTTGTTTACAATTAAATTAATAATTAATTCAAAATTAATTTCTTTTTCCGAGATGCGTAACCTATCCACAAACCTTCCTTGGGATGGCCATAACAATCTATCAAAGTTTCATCGTAATCGGATAAGTGGTGTAGGAGCGCATACCCGGATACCCCGCGAACATTGATTTTTATATATATATAGATTAGTATATCCATTTGACATATTACATCAGTTCAATCTCAAAAATGTAGTCATGTCATGTTTTTAAAATTAAGTTTTTGCTAAACGGTGGTCTAGTAACAGAATAAGTAAACTGATTTGCGTTGAAATATTCATTGTCTTTTCATAAATTCTGGGGGAGCATGGAATTTCCATGTGCCTTCTGTGGTAAAGCATAAGAATACCTGGATTTTTGCTGATCTATTGGTGATGTAGTAAAAGAATGATTAAAAGTTAATTGGCCTGTTTTAGCCAAAAATATTGCTCAATTTCTAACTTTTTCGGCCAATAATAGTTGGGTATTATTAATAATATCTCGAGTGCGTTGAGGTGATCTGGCTGGGTGATTTGGTATGTTTGTATGGGATGGTCTCCTTGGGATTCAACAATATCTAATTGCTCTGTATCCGTCTAGGAATAGTCGTTCGGATGATCCTCGAAAACATTTTTTTCTTTTTCAGTTTCCTCAATTAGAAAATGACTATAGCCAATGATTTCGAAAGAAGGTAGAACAATTATTATAAGCAGAGGCACAGTATGGTCTAGCTCGCTATTGCGGTTGCTCAATATCGTTTAATTTTATTTGATTCTGGTGTGAATGGAAGAATTTCTGACGGCGGTAGTAGTCCAAATTCCAGAAAAGTGAAATAAAAAAAATGTCTGCAAGAACAGACTTGAGTAGTTTCGTACACACGTTCATGTACCTACACTTGCGCAAATCACTGATGCATGAGGGAAATCTTATCATTTGCCACTTGCACATTTGCACAAGTCGAAATACTTGTACAAGTTTGTTCCTACAGACGCTCATGTATACTTGTACAAGTACACTTGTCAATTATTATGCCTGAACTTCTGTAGCCGCCTCTACCAGTAGAGAATATAACAAGTTGTATTTGTAGTTATAATAACGTGCTTTTTAAACGAGACAAATTTATTAAGAACCGACAAACACTGCGCAGGCATCTTTTTTGTATAACTTTTAGCTATGTTGCTATAACCTTTCGTGTTAATAGATTTTATGAGAGACACTCTCAGTCTCAATTCCGAGGGCAACACACCAGAGATCATAGCGTGATATTTAAGATTCGGAATAAGGGTCCTGGGATTTCCCCTGAAGCATTGCCAGGAATTTGAACGTGACCTACTGATTTTTTTAAAATACATTGTTTTAGTTTTCTGCCAGGAGTACTGGGATTTCACAATTTAAATTAAGATGTACTAAAAAAGTAATTGCGTTTCTATATTCTCTCTTCTGTTCATAATAAATAGGTAGGTACATCATTATCATTGAGGCATTCGCGAACCTGCTATCTATGTTGGTTTTTCTACTAAATCATAGAAAATAAGCTCCCTTGGCGCTCATGATAAATCCATCTGGTGCGACAGTCAAGGCTGCTTTTATCAAATGTTAAATTTTGAGTTTCGGAAAAGATTGCATTTTTACTCGAACCAGGTAGGAATCGAATCCTTTTAGGGGAAAAATCTAATTATTAAACTGCCTGGTACCATGGAAAATATTCGCGATCTGCAGCGATGAGAAAGGGATTACATAGAGATTCATCTGACGTCATTTAATTAAAAAATCAAGCAAAAGTTTTAAAACACATCCGCATCCGCATCATAGTTCCATCACACTGCTCTTTGTTAAGTGTCGTTGAGCAGTTGAGTACTAGGTATCAGTCAAATGAGAACAACAGCGAACTTGCTCCTGTTTTAAAATCTTCGTTTTAGCAAAAAGCCACTATGGGATCTAAACTTCAATGAGGACCAGCACAAAAAACAAGTGCAGATGTGGGAGTCGAATCGTGGCAAACTAGTCCCAGTTTCCGCTGTGGATCCAACCACAGGCAACGAAAACGGGAACCGAATCACAAAGCCATTTTCGCCTGATTAACGCAGTTTTTATTAGACTATGGCGCCATACATTGTCGTATCCGAAAAAATCTCTGAGAAATTTTCACAAAGGTTATTTTTGGGACGAGTACACGTTCGGATGATGACATTCAATTCTTTTTGACGAAAGGGTAATCAAACAAAAAAAAAAAAAAAGGATCCAGTTTTACCATTCGTGAAAAATAGTATAAAAATTAAAAAATTAAAAATGGGATTTTTATTCTATTTGGCTAGCAAAATATATTTATCATAGTACTTACGGATTCAAAACAATTCTGCACGGACCAATAGAAATAGTTTGTTGTAATCGGTTTTGGACCTGATGCTGATAGAGTGCTGTTTGGGGAAACCCACCTATAAAAGTATACATTTTAGCAATATTATTCAGGAAACTTATTAGCATAAAGTTAGAGCAAATTTGTGATTTTATTGCAACGACGAGGTGTACTTGTAACACTGGGGGATTATATTATCAAGGTTTCTTGATCTCCAATAACATTAAAAATGATAAAATGTTTGCTATGTGTGACGAATCTAATCCGAATATTTTCCCTAGTGATCATACTATGAGGTTGTATCGCTTCTGTTAAGAAGTGTCACTTTATGAATAGCTAGATCTATCTATTCTATCTGTGTCTAGAAGCGATACAACAAATAGTTTGGAGTAGACCAATATACGAGTATCATGAATTTTCCATATTATAAAAGATATTTCTATTAGCTTTGTCACGCTGTCAAGAAGATGTACATTGTCAATTGTTACAAAAGTATTGTCACAGATTCCGGGATCACTAAAACTCACTCCAAAAACAGTAACAACTTGTATTAAACTAATTGACTTTTATACAAAACACTTATCACTTATCGAAACATACACGGTAAATATCGAATTAAAACTTATAACTTATTACTATGATCTAGTCGTAATCGCACACGGGATTTAGCTAGAAAAACATCGAATCGAATATACATAATTGATTTCCAGGAAACGGCGGGCTGCCCGACGTAAACAAGTAAGTACCTAATTTATTGGAATCCCAGCGCCGGATTCTCGATGCATTTTCTTAACACTGCCTTCCTCCTAATTCAGATCGCCCCGATACAATGATAATATATACAGGGTGGGGCACGACAAACTTCCCACCCACGTTTTCTCAGGTGCTAGGTGATTAATCAAAAATCGCTCGGACACGTCAATTTTTGTTTTTTTTGGGGGACATATTTTATTGGTATTTTTACCTCCTACCTGTCAACTCCTAAGCAGGGGCGACAGGTACCCCCAAAATTTCAAATAGAAAAGGGGGTCGAGTGATACATCATTCGATAGCTATTTTTATTAAGATTATTTCCCCGAAGTTTTAAGTTGCTACTATTTACCCTGACGAAATGGCGGCTTGTCAAAAGTATGTGATTTTCACCTCATAATACCAAAACAACAGATATTTTAAGTAAATAAACATGAACCATATTGAACTATTTGAGCTAAACTGTTGAATGACAATACTTAAATTAAATAACAATGTTATTTTATTACATTTTATTAAAAATCTGTTGTTTTGTTATTATGAGGTAAAAAAACACACAGTTCAGATAATCGAAAGGAGCATTTTTCCTAACTTTGACAAGCCGCCATTTCGGCAGGGTGAACAGTAGCAACTTAAAACTTCGGGAATATAGTCTTAATAAAAATAGCTATCATCGTATCACTTGACCCCCCTTTCCATTTGAAATTGTGGGGGTACCTGTCACCCCCTCTCAGGGGTTGACAGGTAGAAAGTAAAAATACCAGTTAAATGTGTCCCCCAAAAAACAAAAATTGACGTGTCCGAGCGATTTTTGATTATTCACCTAACACCTGAGAAAATCTGGGTGAAAAGTTTTTCGTGCCGCACCCTGTATACACCACGTCATCTAGTCTCTTTATATTCGTGTACAGGCCTTCCCATACTGGTGTTAGCTTTGGAGATCTGCTTTTCTTCCTTGGAGGGTTATAGAGCCAAACTTTTTCATTCGCCTGGAAACCTGAAGAGTTTACCTTGAGGTCATATCTGTTTTTCATTCGATCACTTAAGCACTTTGTCCTTTCTCTATGTCATGGATGTCAAGCAGGCTTTTTCACAGATTGTCAGCATAGTCGTCGGCGACATCTGGTGACTCGAACAACAGGTCACAGGGTGAAGCTCCCTCCCAAACAAAACTTTGGCTGGTGTAATTCCTATTGTCTTATGTACGGCTGACCTGTATGCAATCAGAAATAGAGGCTCATTCCAATCATCTTGATGCTTGTCAATTACCTTGAAGAGATGCCTTGTTGAAACCCGAAACTATGCCATCTGATTGTGGATGCAATGCCGTGGTTCTGGCCTTGTGAACAGTTCGCAAAACTTTTTGAAATAGTCGTGACTGGAAATTAATCCCTTGATACGAATAAAGTTCCAATGGGATTCCAAACCTAGTAAAAACAATATTGAGGAGGCCTTTGTTACTGTAGATGTTTACTGATTTAGAATAGCGAAAACTTCTGGCCACTTGCTGAAATAATCCACGGCAACTAAGATGTATTGGTTGCCACTCCACTTAGCAGGAAATGAAGCTTCTAAGTGGTATTTATTGCCAAATTGGTCTGGATTTTCCGGATTCCTTTAGATTCAAAAATGGCTTGATGTTACTATCTTGTAATTCGTCACTTCTTAGCTGTTCGGAACTCCATTCTTGATCAGTCTCAAATCGGAAACCTCTTCTAGGAACCCCTTCACGCTGGTCTATTCTGAGGCAGTTCTTGCATTGAGCTGGACATTGTCGCCTAGATAAGGCATCTGCGTTATAATGATATTTATCAGAACGGTGTTTGATCTGAAAACTATACTGCTGTAACTTCCCAGCCATCTTGCTACCTATCCTTCGGGTTGCTTTATGTTTAGAAGCCATTTGAGAGATGCACGGTCTGTTCTAAAGAGAAATTCTTGTCCATACAGGTACTTGTGGAAATGGTCTGACTATTGCCAACAGATCCTTTTTTAAACACAGTAATTCATTTCTTGTAAAACAGTAAGCTTCTCCAACGAGGTATTAATTGTAAGGCTGGTGTGGGTGTACAAGTCCAACGCAGCTCCCAGAATCTTTCTCCAACTGTCCATATCTAATTTGTTCGGTTTTCTGAGTTCGTGTAGCTTTTATCGAGACGGACTTTCGACCCTTAGGTTTGGACAGTACAAACTCTTCAGTGCCAAATTTCAGGATGTTCAGCAGCTGGTTGTCGAATGCAAAACCATGTTGACTGATTAAGTCCATGCCCAAAATAAACTCATCCTCTTCATCCGCAATCAGCACCGGGTGACAAATCTTGATATTTCCTAATTTCAGGTCGATTTCTGTTTCTTTATGTACATTTTTCTAATCAGTTGATAAGGATATCAACCAAAAGAACATTCTTTTATGTTCCATTTTTGTGATGAAATGTGTACGTTATTTTTCCCATAAAGTACGTTTTTGGCCTATTCTTTTAGGTGCATTTCTGGAAAAAGTTACATGTACATAAGTAGGTAATACATTCAGTTAACCGGTACGCTTATAGTAATAAGTTGATGCGTATAGGGTCTTGAGTAGCAGTTTTGTAGTCATATACATACTCGATAGACTCTTGGATGGTCCCTTTGGGCACACTATCAATTTTCCGTGGAAAGCTAAAATAGTAAAGAAACTGATTGCTCTAAGAATAATTTGAGATTTATATTTAATTCCCCAATTTTCGAAACACTTTAATTTTGTCGCTTGGCGCCTTGGGCCCCTAGGCAAGGGCCTCGTCATCCTATGCCTAGTTACGGCTCTGTCTCCACTTTGCGCAAAATAACTCCCCTTGAAAGTGGCTTTCCATTGAACTTTTTGGAAATGTTCAAATTTAAACGAGATACGCCTACAACTGTGTCCACTGTTATGATGATATTTCTCCTATTAATTTTTCCTTCAATAGTCACACTGTCCGCTTTCCTAGAATTTTGATGGATATGATTCTGAGTGCTCCACTTACACTAGCAAACACTCGCCCCTCCTTGAAGGCTGAGAGTTACGAGAAGGAGAGCGAGATCCTAGACGTACTCTACAGTCATGTTTTAAATGTTCCTTTCTACCACCGTAGTATCCAATTCCCTTTTTCCAGTTAGTTACCTTGATTGCTTCTGAAACCCATTTCGCATTTCTTCCAGAATTTCCTTCATTGTGTCTTCGATTTTTCTCGTTGGTTCTTGTTCCTCTTGTATTGACACAGCTCTGATGTTTGGCTTGGATATTCTATATGCTGCTTCAATTTCTAGGGCTTTGATCAATGCTTCGCTGCTACTTAATGGTTTGTTTATGAGCAGCGTTCTCTGTACGTTATTCATATCTTGAACTCCATTTTTTTCCTGCTTGTTGTTCTCGCATTTCTGCTGCTGCTTTCAGATCGGCTAAATTAACCTGACGGCGGATGTGGGTTTCAAATTCTTGTAGGCATTCTGCAGCTTTTTGTTAACTTGTTCTTAGTTGTACCTGGTAAAGCTGTCTCGGTGTTGATCTCCATAACGACGCTCCAACGCATCAAAAAGTGTCCCATAGTTTGGTTGGGAAGCTGGCGAAAGAATCTCTTGGAGGTCTAAGGCAGGGCCACGAAATACTACAATCAAGCCTGTAGCCATTTCATCGGAGCTCCAGCCATTAGCTATTGCAACAGTCTCGGATTGACGACTCGGCCCACGATATTTTTGTCCGTCATATGGTAGTGACTTAATTTCGATACCAGGTGCAGGCGAGGCTGAGACATTCCGTGATCACAAGTCACATTCCATTTTTTTTAATCTTCTCAAAACTATCCATTTCCTGGCGAACTTCCAGACGATTGACGAACAATTCCAACTTCCTGACGAACAGTTCCAACTTACTTATGAACACTCCCAACTTTTTCACGTACTACCCCCATTGCATTCGTGATTTTATTATCTTATACTTCCAGAACTTTCTCGAGTTTGGTTTGTTCCTCATATATTACGGTTTAGATCCATTCTCACTGGAATTTGAAATTTTCTTGAAGCCGGTCCTGTCCTTCTTGTCTTCGAGCTTTTTCTCTCTGTCTTCGGTCTTCTTCTTCTTGCTTATCTCTCTGTTTTCGGTCTTCTTCTTGTTTTTTTTTTCTATCTTTGGTCTTGTTGTTGTTGTAGAAGTGCTGCCAACATTTGATTAACTTGCTCCATTTCGGCTTGTTGTTGTGTATTCACCATAGAGTATTCTGTATCTTTCTTGAAACTTGATTCTGAATTTGAAATTCTTTGGCGAAGTCGATTCTCCAACTAGAGCTCGATTGAATTTTCTAGAATATTGCTTTCTCGACTTGTTTGTGATGTTGAAGCCAGTATTGAAGTCATTATTTTTGTATCACTTACGGTATAAATAGAAGTTTGGTAAAAAAATTTCCCGAAAATGCGCTTGTGAGCTTGTTTTTCGATGTGGAAGCCAGTTATAAAGTCACTATTTCAGTTCAATAAAAGTTCATCAACACCCACTAATTAACTCAAATTATTAAGCCAACTATCTTGCTAATAATCCCACTAACTAGCTCACACTAGTTCAGTAGTTATCTTGCCAACTATAAAGGATTCAATGAATTACCTAGCTCAAATCAATGAACCAATTGCCTTACTAATAATCTCACTTCCGACACCAAATTTTCACGGATTCTGGGTTCACTAAAACTCACTTCAAAAACGGTAACAACTTTTATTAAACTAATTGACTTTATCCAAAATACTTATCACTTACCGAAACATAAACGACAAATATCTAATTAAAACTGAATCAACATTACTACGAATACTACGATCACCATTTATATAAACGTAATAGCACTAGGGATTCTAGAGAAACATCGAATCGCATGTAATGGAATTCCAGGAAACGGCACCGGCGGACAAATTTTAGATCATATTTTTTGCAAATCTACTTCGCAAACAGTACCTACCCTTTCGTTTTTCGATGTTTTGACCACGAAAATAAAATATATCCCTAACCTTCGAACATCATCAATAACCCACTATAATAATGGTAACTGGATATGAAATCTGAGTGTGAAATATATTGCTGGTAATTTCTTCAAGCATACCGGTAAGTACCTACTCGTAGCAAATTATTGAAGCACAGCCACTAACAATGGGTGGCATTGACCCAATTTAATGAAATTGGCAAAAACCGCAGTGCAATCGGTTAGTTCGTTTCTGAAAGTAGATTAGCATACTAGGTTACGTCAAAAGAATTTGACGTCATAGGCGCACAATTTGTGGAGGAAATGTCAATTTTATTAGGACTGTGGGTCAATTCGACCCCGTAGTAGTCAGGTTAAAAATTTAAGTGATGCTGATATTTAAAACAAGCCAATAAAACTGTTTCTGGTTACTTTAGATGTTCACAGTTTTTAAATTATATTTTTATAGACGGCTATCTAAGGTTTCTGAATAAAATCTAGCGTACGTCTAGAAAATATGTATGGTTCATCTAGAATCTAGAAAGTATCCGGAATTTTATACCTTTTTTTATTTTAATATTTCTTTTGTAACATTCTAAGACAAAAGTTATGCTAAAATTAGTGCCAATAGTGAGCAAATCTTGGAAAATTTGTGCGAATGAGCAGGATAAAAGATGTGGCACAGATATGAGGTACAGATCAGTTTCGAGAAACCGAAGTTAGATTCGTGGAAACAATGTTAACGCTTTAGTGGCCTTGAAAAAAAAATCTGTTCCTATATGATTTCGAACAATGGCAGGCTTTAAAATGAACGAAGAATAAAAATGCTCCCAGAAACTGCCCGCATGTCACTGAAAAGACAAGGCTACATATCAAGGAAACAAAAAAAACCTACAATAACACCTCTGCAAAGGCAATGAAGAATAGATTGTTGTCAACGTTTTCGAGAAAATATTCCTTTAGTAATGTTTTTATGTCTAATAAAAGTTGTTTTCAGCTTGCTGCAAATCACCTAAAAATCCTGCCAAGAGAAAATATTACCCTTCAAATACCCAAATTTCCTATCATCAACATAATGGTTTGGGGAGCAATATCTTAGCTTGGTGCTACACCTCATCTCTCCACAGTCACAGTGTGTGACATTCTAAATGGATTTTTTCTTGATACCTACGGCTCATGCTTTATATCCAGAGATACAAGGCAAGATGCCATACTTCTGCCTATGCTCAAGCTTGGATGCAAGAACACCAATTAGCAACAATTCCATGAATAGGGATTTTTATGAAACTGTCAGCCCAACAATTATTTAAAGAGTGTATCAAAAACCTCAAAGTTTGAGCATTATATAGCTACTCACCAACAAAAATATGCAATTGATTAGGTTCTCTAAATTAAGAAACGATTATCTTAATAGGGAGGACAAGTTATGGATAAAAAAAATGGTAAAAAGGAAGTTTCAATTCCACTTCGCCGTTCACCTACATTTTTTCTCCACCAACGAGATAAATATTCACAACATTAAGGTCCGGTTTATTCATCTTCAGATAGCCTTGCTGGTAACTATCTGCATGAGAAATTTACCGTTCTATAAGTCTATTGGTCGGCAGACAACTTGACGACCACTGGAATTACAGATTGCGTTTCTATCCGTCAGATTGCATACCTGACAGAAGGTGAATAAATTGGCCCTTAGAATGATATTTGTAGCAATTCTATCATTTACCACGATTTTAATCATGGTGGTGGATTAGTTGGTTGTGATTTAAAAAAAATAATTCTTAGAAAATATATTACAAACATTATCTAATAATTGAAATAAATACATATACATACTTACATTTCATAAGTGTAGTTAGTAGTAAAACTATAGCAAGCAACGGCATTTTTACACTTGAAATTTATTACACTCATAATTTTAAGCCATTTTAATTGACATTTTAACTATACTTTTTCGCATACCTATCTCTCTTTATTTGAAAGTATAAAACAATTCAAGAACTTCTGCACTGTCACCATAAAGAAAGTCGTAAATCAATTGAAAATTTGACCACATTCACTAAATCAAAATAACTTGTTACCTACTTGCCGCGGACGTTTTTAACTAATTCGAAACACGAACTTGAGCGCACTTTTTAATTAATATTCTAGGATAGTTTTTTTTTTTTAAAACCGGGTCTACTTTTTCAATGGGCTTACTTATTTGTAGGTACATCAATAAAAATAATGTAACACGAAGTTATTGCTGTACATTTTACATTAATCAAGAAATACTAGATTCGACCCGAACTTGGCCAAAAATGGGCACTAAAAAAACTGTCGATGTTACCCGTCTTGACTTCATTTACCGCAGAAGGATTTCCAATTAAATGTGGGTTTTAATAATGCGATTGCTAACTCGAAAATGTTTTAGCTGGTTGTTTCTTTTAAGAACCGAGAAAATGTTTCGCAAGAATATATTTACAGGGGTCGTTCGAAATAAAAGCTGCAGAAGCAATAGTTATAACGGAGAAACCTGTTATGTTATACAGTACAGCTCGTAGTATTCCAGTAGATATGTAAAACTAATAGTGTAATTTATTACCAGCTTAAAGCACAGCGGATATTGGGGGCTTAGATTATATTTACATAATAGCTTAGGTACCTGCCTACTTTGAAGTACGGGATACCTAATAAATACCTAGGTGTCTAACCGATAATCACCTGTCTCACTATTTTAAATTGGTTATCTCTAACGAATAAAAAGACGCCTCAGTCAGTGGCGGTAGCTGTCTCCACCTTTTTTTTTTTATAAATTTTCCATCTTACGGTAACCTACCTTCCACAAACGGAGCATGTTTTCTTCTTGCTTCTTTGCCTCCTAGCTCGAAAATAGAAAAAATAATGTGAAGAGGGATTGTCTTTGGATAAACGTTGATAATTATTATTATCAATATTATTATTATTATTATTGTTCTTCAATAGCAAGCGGAAAATCCGACGAAGCTATTGTTCTAGTCTCTATACTTAATATGATTGTTCGTCGTGATTATGGAGCATATTGTTATGGTGGATACCTCACAGGTCCGAATACATTTCGAAAAAAAAAAAAAACAAAAATTCAGTAAACACGTTCAGGCTCAGGCACCGTAATGTACAAAATTCTGGGCTGTTTGCTCTAAATAACGGTCAACACAGTTTTTAACCCGGCATTACACGCGCCAAAAAACTAACGTCATCACACGCGTTTGGTCAAATCGACGGACTGCCCAAAAGTTTATATGAATTATTAGCTTTTTTCGCGGAAACGATCCCAAACGTATCCTGAACGCTAAGGCATGACCTACGCAAGTTTACTAATCAATAGAGACATAAAACTTTCAAATATTACCTGCGTAAGTCATGCCTTAGCGTTCAGGATACGTTTGGGACCGTCTCCGCGAAAAAAGTGTACAAGCACTATAATTCCTGGAATTCATAATTATTACAAGGGCATATTATGCAGTACAGTTACCGTATTATCGACAGCCAAAAGTACTACCAATATCCAGGCGCGGCTCGTGAGTATTTCTACAGGTGGGTCAAATTTAGAGAAACAGCGCCGTTATTCGAGTTCAGGGCGCAAAATAATTCGATTTCTGCATTTTGTTGAGCGTGATGTTGGTTAATTTAAAACTAAATATCCAAGATGTTTAATTGAAAATTTATTGTTTGATTTTTTGGTGGGTCATTGACCGAATGACCTTATAGAGGAGCCGCGCCTGCCAATATCAGAAAATGCCAATTTTGAACACAAATATTTCAGATACTCAGGTTCACGCGCCTAGTCAAAAGCACCAACTATGAAAACAACGAACCCTTCTTCAACTAAAAACCAAAATATCTTTGGGTCAATGGGTAGTGGAAAACCTGCATCAGGCATTCCTGGATGGACAAAACTGTCACCCTTGTACCAGTGGCGTAATTACTGATTTTATCAATGGTCGGTCCTTTTGACTGGTACGCGTGTACTCCCGGGTTAAAAGAGTTTACACTATTTGCGGATACTATACTTTCTTCAAGTGAGTTCCACATGTACACAATCCGATTGGTGAGGAAATTCTTTCTTGGAAGTGATGCTGATCTTTTCTTGCTCAACTTTTTTGAGTGTCCGCGCAGCTGCTGGTTCCGATTGAAATGAAACAAAGTTCCCAAGCCACAAGAATAGTAGCCTGACAGAATCTTAAAGGTTTCTATCAGATCACCCCTAGTTCTTCTTTGCTTCAAAGTAGTTAGCCCAAATATGTCCACAGTCTTTCAGGATAGGTAAGTCCTCTCAACTCGAATGGAATTCTGGTAACCCGCCTTTGAACCCTTTCCACAATTTCTATGTCTTTGATGTAGTAGGGGTTCCGAATACTATAAGCATACTCGATTTTCGGTCTGCTATAGGAGGCGTACAACTTCCTCACGATCTGAAGAGAGTTATCTTTGAAAATCTTTTGCACCATGAAAATAAAACTATTGGCCTTTTTCACTATCCTATTTATATGGGGCTCTCATTTCAAATCATAAGAAATCAGCACGCCCAGATCCGTTTGCTCAGCAACGCTAGTAAGCTGAACATTATTTATGAAGTATGCTTCATGTGGATTATTCGGACCAATATGCAGTATTGTACATTTTAATGCATTGAGCCTCATGCACCACTGGTCCACCCATATCTCAATTCGCCTTAGATCCCTGTTCAAGCAGTCCTTTTGCAACAATGGATTACAGAACACCTTGGTATCATCAGCAAACAAAATTATGTTTATTTCAATGTTCCATGACAAATCGCTAACAAAAACCAGAAACAGTAATGGTCCTAAAACAGACCCTTGAGGGACCCTACTCATAACCGGATGTTTATCGGACAAAATACCATTGACCCTCACCTGATAGAAGCGGTTGCTGAGAAAGTCGTTGATTAGAGCAAGAAGCTGGCCTCTTATACCAAAATGTTCAAGCTTGTAGAGCAACAATGAATGAGGTACTTTATCAAACGCTTTCTCAAAGTCCAGGTATATTACATCTGTCGGTTGCCTTTTTTCATGAGCTTTGGTCCAATGGGCTCTTTCACTAAAATTTAAATACGTAATTTAAGTATAAAATCTCAAAGGAGGGACTATTTTAGGCATATATACCAAAAAAAAAAATGTTCTACAAGGTTCAATAAGTTTTTCATAGGCAATCAAAAGTGCCTAAATTCAAACTATTTTAAAACGCGCCGATTTGCCGACGTCACATAAATATTCTTCATTTCGCTTATGTCGTTGCAAGGAGGAAGGGCTCGGCTGTGTTTGCGCTCTGTAAAGATACGTAAAGGTTCGAATGCGCTGTTGTCGGTTGTGACTAAATGTAGTGCAGCGTAAAATAAATAAATAAAACTAAACATAAAAAATTGCATTAAATTGTATTTAAGCATAATTTAAAAAAAAAATGTTATAAAATCTTGAATCTATAACTAATTAATTTAACTACTTTTCATGAGATTTTGCCAACATTTCAGAATTAAATCTATTACAAATTTTCAATGTTGACAATTAGTGGCAACACGGTCAAATTGCGAGCTGCGACGTCATAGAAATAAATTCTGGGTTTTTATTTGGAGGTATTTCTTTGTTTTCTTTTTTCTCAAGAAGGACTTTGAATTTTTCAAAAGTAAAAATACAGAAAATTCTGTTTTTAGTTGCTTTATCCAAATATGCCAATTTCAAAAATTAGTGAAAGAGCCCATTATCAACGCAGCTTAGAAGGTTCGTTATTGTTGAACACTTTGGAATGAAGCCATGTTGTGAATTTGGTAGAACTTTTTTGGTAAGTAGAAAGTCAGTCATTTCAGTAGCAACAATTTGCAAGGATTACAGGTCAAGCTGATGGTTCTATAATTTTCTGCGATATGTCTGTCACCTTTCTTTTAAAGTGGAGTCACCGATGCATGTTTCCATATTTCTGTAATTTTTCCCGAATCCATACATTGTTGAAATAATCCTGAAAGATGGTTGCCAATAGTGGCTTTGCCCTTTTGTAGGAATATTGTTGGAAATCTTTCTGGGCCTGGACTGGATTCTGACTGCATTTCACTTAAAGCCCTGTTCACTTTTTCTTCTGTAAATTATATCCTGTCCAACATATTAGTTACTCTCAAATCATCTGGCAAAGTTGGTCTCATGATCGGGTCTGGGCTGAATACTTTGCTAAATTGCATAGCAAACTGTTTCCCCATATCCTTTGGATCAGTTATTAATGCATTATTATCGCCCTTTATCGATATAGATGATACTCTAGAGTTGCGGCTTCTTGTTACATATTTAAAGAATTGCTTTGATGTGCCATTTGTTGCTATTCCATTTTCAAATTTCTGTCGTGCTTCTGCAATTCTTTGGTTTAATTTGTAACATTGAATTCTGTAGGTCTGATAGTTTTCCACCGTTCTGTTGTTGACATATTTATGCCAAAGCTTTCTCTATTTATTAATATCCTTGAAGATATGCTGATTAATCCATGGTTTCTGCGAATTGACTTTCACGGAAACGTTTGGAATGAACTTATCTATTGTAGAGTTTAAAATATTTTCAATATTACTGTATATAGCGTTAGCGGGCATTGTAGTTGGTGTGAAATTTTGGAATTGTTATTGCAAGTGATTATTAATATCAATGTAATCTGCAGCCCAGAAGTTACGCCTGAGTATATTTTGAGTTGGTTAAATAATCGTTTTTATTTGCGATTTGGCTGTAATGGATATACAGTGAGTTCATAAAGTCCCGCATAAATTCATTATTTTGAAAACGGTAGAATTTTGGAAAAATCGCTCAGACACGTCAATCTTGTTTTTTTGTTTGAAATTTTTCGATATATGATGAAAAATACAGGGTGTCTCCAAAATAGCTTCGCTGGTATCAACTTTATTTTTTTAAATGGTACCCCCTGTATATTATGACATTTCTGGATTCTGTGGAAAATTCTAGACATACTTCATGTATAATGTCATATACCTATCTTCAACTGTTTC